GGAGTCTGGAACAGGCACCTTCCATATATTTGCACCAGTTTAATGCTGGCCGTCCCCTCGGCCTTCCGATGCTCGGGTTCGCAAGAAACACTTGCTTGGCCTTCCTTTCTGGAGGTATTCGCAACACATGCCCAAACCATTGCAGCTGTGAATTCTCAATATGGAGAAATAAAGGCTGAATACCAAGGCTCTTTCAGATGTCTGTATTCCGCACCATGTCGAGACGCTTAAGGACATCGACTCGTCTGAAAGGGCCCATTTCAACAGCTTGTAGCCGGTTCGAAGTTTTTCAGTGATGGTCTACGATTCATGACCGTAGGTAAGCATAGAGATAAAGATCGACTTCAATATTGAGAGCTTAGTTTTCAGTCTGAGCTCTGCTTTAGCCACAATGGGTGGGGCTGGTTCACGCAGAACGCCACTGGCTATTCCAGTTCGCCAGTCCGTCACTTCCTCAAACTTTTTATCAATAGTGAACGCGACTTCGAGGTACTTGACTTCTCCACCTGCTCCACTGCCTCTCCGTTAATCTGAAGAGAGCAACTGGCAGGAGAACGAGAAAGCATTAGGCTTTCGATTTCGATGCGTTCACACGCACGCCGGTGACGTTGCACTCGGCTGCGCACATTTCTGGGAGCATAAAGATCATTTTCAGAGGATGCTAATAAAACAAGGTATTCTGCAAACAGCAACTATCTCGTCTTCACATCTCCTACACCGATACTCTCATCGCCTTGACAGTTCCTCATTATTCTATACATGTACAACGCAAACGGGATAGGGGACAGAACGAAGCCTAGGCGGAGACCAGCGCATCGTTGAATGGATTCTACTCAATGCCATTAACTCTGACGCAGCGCCTGCTCTACGAATACAGTGATTGAATGGCCCTTAGCAGCTGGCCATCAATCCCGTATGCACGAAAGCGTGACCACAGACTGTTACCTTGAATCCGGTTATAGGCTTTTTTTAGGTCGACAAAACACATGTGGACTGGAGGGCGTACTCCCACGATTTCTCAACAATCTGGCGCAGGGCAAATATATGATTAGAGATGCTTCGACCGGACCGGAGGCCACACTGCTCTTGTTGTATCTTGAGGTCACTTATTTCGCAGCACTTCCTTTCTAGCACCTTTGCGTAGACTTTACCTGGGAGGCTCAATAACGTAATGCCAATGTATTTGAGCACTTCTTGTTGTCTCCTTTCATGAACAGGAGTTGGACAGCTCTCGTTTTCCAGTCCGCTGGTGGCCTTCACCCTAGTCATCGCAGTTTGACAGACACGAGAAACGATTTGTAAATCTGCACATTCCCTGTTCGCCTAATGTTTTGAGCAGTTCAGGGCGGATTTCAACAATTCCAGTAGCCTTTCCATTTTCAACCTTTTCACAGCTTGTGCATTTTCATCTGCAGACATAAGAATATCTGTTCCCTGCCGCTCCACAGTTGAGTCTTCCAGTGGCTGTTCGTGATTAAGGAGTTATTCAAAATACTCTCTCCATCGCCGAAGAATGTCCTCATACTTGTTAAGAGGGTGTCTAGACCTGACCTACAAGACTCTGAGACTGCCCTTCTTTTCACCTCAGAGCCAGCGAATGGTTTGCTAGAACATTGTCTACAGTCTCAGAATTCGAGTCCAACACCTTACCGAACTTCTCCATGAAATCCGCTTTGGCTTTTGCCAGTGCTTTCGCTGTCGGAATGAGTGCCTCGAAATATCGTACGCGAGAATAAGGCTTTTCGTTTGCAAGACATTTCTTGAACGCTGCCTTCTTCTCTTTAACTGCCAGTTGTCACTCTCGTGTCCGCAAGGAAATTCATTTTTGACCTCAATTTGGCAGGCCAATTCGTTTAAATCCGCAGCATTCAACGACAGCCTCAAGTATGCCACTGTTAAACAGCTGCCATTCGGTTTCCACATCACCAGTCATCTCTGGGATGTGTTCAAGCCGTGGTATTACGTTGCTTGCAAATTTCGCCCTCGTGGTCAAAGAAGATAATGTTTCCCATTCGATTCGCTGCTTGCTTCTGCAGCCAGATCTTTGCATGGTACTTAATTTCGGTGCGGTGCACGGAGATATGGTGCAACCTATCAACAACTGAGTGGTAATCAGCTGACAGCTTTGTACCTCTCTTACCGGGAACATCCATTACCGAGCGTCTTAAGCCAGATGATACGATTATCAGATCGATCATCGACTTTTGTGCACAAGCTTCCACGTACCAGGTATACTGATGCACTCTTCAATGCTTGAAGAAGGTGCTCACAATGGACAATCCACTGTTTGCACAAAATCGCAACATCTTCATGCCGTTATTGTTGAGTTAGCTAGGGCCGTTTTCTTCAATCACGCCCTTCCACTTCCCGGCGTCTACTCCCCAGATGCGCATTAAAATCGCTCATGAGTATGAGGGACTCTGTATTCGGCAATTCGTACAGACTCCGCAGTTCCTCAAGGAAGGAATCATATTCTCTCTCTTAACTGGGCGCAGAGAGCTGTACCAAGGTCAACGCTTTAGTCTGCTGTAGCTTCAGTCGGAGAATTACCACTCTTCCGCTGACAGGCTTCGAATCAACGATTTTATCTACGAGTTTGGCTTCTACCAGAGCACCAATACCGGCATAAGCGCGCGTCGTGACATCGACACCTGAGTAGAATAGCACCCACCAACTGAGGTTCAGGATTTCATAGCTTTGGCATTTTGCTGACGAGAGTCCCACTGCATCAAGTTGGTTCGTTAAGGCCTCATCAACTAGCGTTTGCTCTTTCCATCTGAGTGAGGATATATTCCAGTCTACAACTGTAATCTCCCACTGCCGGTATCGTTCTCGAGGTGCCTTTCCTGACTTGCTGTAATAGCTTTGCGCTGTGTGCCTCCTCCGTTCAGAACGCG